TAAAATATGTAATAAAAATTTCTATTTCTATAATAAGTTTATAACAGATATACAATAAAAATTTCATATCTGTTAATTTTCGGCTCTTAAATAACAGTTTCTGTTATCAAACATCAAATTCGCAATGGTTTTCTTTCGTCACTTAAAAAACCGAACTTGTGTTTTAATTTTTCCGAATTCCGCCAAAAATAAAACACGAAAAATCGTTGCAGCTGGCAACATTCTGGGCATTTTTCAAAGAGACTTTAAATTTAGCTATGAGAGTAATGGATGAACAACTTCGAACAATACTCCCAAATTGTTAATGTATAACAAATATTTGATATTCTCCGATGTCGATGCTTTGTTTGAGACAAAAGAAGATTTTCAGATTATTCTCAGATTTATGATGGTAATCGGATAGTTTTCATTATTATGGCACAAACTAAATTTTTAAAAAAAATTTTGTAGCGAACTGTGAGCGAAATTAATGTATACATAGCAGCTCACAAGATTTTATACATATACAATATGAGCTACCATACAATATACCTCAAATTTATGCATACGTTTTGTATACATTATTTTTTTAAATATAAGTTACTAGAAAGTAAGCTGTTACATATTATTTATTTGGTAAAGTGTCGCGAAAAACTTTGTTTTGTATGATTGATTTATGTCTTAAGAAAATCTAATTCTAATTAAAAAATTTGTGAATATGCAAAGCTGCTCATTTTGAATTCTTACACTAACAGTTCACCATTTACTCTTACATATCATAATTATTATTATTAAAATAATTGTATATTCTGGTCAGACGGTAGCATTAAATAACATAATTCTTAAGTTACATCAATGATACATGAAGTGGTTAGTTTTTATATTGCACATAAGATAAACATATAGCTGCTATCGAAAAAATTGGTCATTTTGAATTATTAAACTAACAATTCCTCAATGTATGTTCCTTAACATAATCTCATAAGACGTATGTATATTGAGTTTTTTTGTGATTAGTTCAAATGATCATGAATCTAACAATATTTTTTGTTATATGTATATATATACCTACCCCAAATATTTCAATAAATTAGAAAATAATATTGAAAAAATAATTAGGCATTTAATTTTTTCATGCAGATTTTATTATACTCGTATTGTTGTTATTTTTAGGCATTAAAGTTGCATAGGTTGAGGTTAGTGCTTTAAAACCAAAAACAAAACAACTTACATAATAATATACAAAACAACTTATTAAATTACCAAAAGAAAAAAAGAAAAAATAAAACAAATAAAAATGTTTGTGCAAATTTTTATTGTGCAATTTTTCAAATAATTTTTTGATTATTTTTAAATATATTTACAAAAATAGTGCATTTTCTTTTTAAATATTTTAGATTTTGTTTTCTTTTTTCTTTTAAATTAGTGCATTTTGAGAACCAATAAAGAAAATAATAACAATTCTTTTACATACTTAAAAATTAAATAAAATATTGTCTTTTATTAGATTTTTTTTTAAATATATTATGTAAAAATATAAATATATATGTATATACATGTATATATTTTTGGCTACATTTAATTAAAAACAATAATTTCAATTATAATATAATTTTTTCTATATTAAACTTATTAATAATCTAAATATTGTTAAAAAATATTTTCATATATTAGTTTATTAATAATAGTAACAGTATTTATATGTGTGTATATAATTGCAGAAGTTCAATAAAAGATAGTACTAAAAAACACACACACACACATGTACACACAAATTTTCAGGTCCATTATAAATTTAGATCTTTTTCATTAAACTTGAATTCAATCTACTTCGAAAACAAAAAATTTAATTAAATTGCTCTATGTAGCTCCATAAATTCGAATATAGCATTTATTTTAACTCTTAAGGGAGCAATATAAAATTTCGCATTCATTCTCGCATGATATTCACCACAAACAATCGAAATTTTTTTTTTTAAATACTAACATAAAAAATTTTTCAAAAATTCTCTCTTTTCACCAAAGCTTTCTTACAAACCGATTAGTAGAGGACAATAAATGCCAACACTGAAGCTATGAGTGATAATGATATTAATTCGGGAATGTTTGTTTTAGATTACATTAACATGAAAGTAACACTCTTATTTATAGTTTTCTGTTAAATTTAATATTTTTTTTTTCATAGTAGAAAAATTTGGAAGTGTGAGTTTTATATTTTTATATTCTTGCGATAATAAGATTAACATTTGAATTTTAGTAGTTTAAAATCATTTAAAGGAATCTACATAAGAACCTTAAAACCAAATAATTAGTACTTTACTATTACAAAGTACTTATTTGATCGGCATAATGTTGTGAAAAAGGTCGTGGTAGCTTAATATTATGTTAAGTTTATTACTCAACACTCAACCGGTAGCCTAATAATCGGCTTTTGGTTCTCGACGGTTTTGTCAGTGGGTTGCTCTTTTTGTAGCTTCGCAGCGCCAACATCGTTAATTATTTGATATTAAAAAAAAATTTAATTACTGTTACCTTGAATTTATTTCATGAACGTAACTTAAACAGACAATAAATTGTATAAAACAAATACAAAATAAAGTGTCAATAAAATATCAATAAAATTCCATTAATTTAAAACAAAGGGAATAAGCACAACACAAGGCACAGTGATAATTTAGCCGGTATTGGCAGCCTCAACCACAACCGGTCGATAAAGTGTTAAAATTATAACGCTCTTATAACTCCTATAGTCCTAGACTATATACTAACTATATTAGACAGCAATAATTATAATGAATAATAAAATGTAAGATTAATGAAAACTTTGAGGGTCATTTTTTCTTTTTGAAGTTTTAACATTGGATGTTTTTCACATGTCCTCGTTTATTTCTGGATTATGTAAACGCAACATGATCTTTTATTAATAATCTTTATGTAAACGCAACATGATCTTTAATTGTTAAAATTATAACTGTTTAAATTATAAACTTGCTTTTCTAGAGTCAGTCAAATAGAAATATGTTACAAAGATGATAGTAGGTAAAATTTATGTAAGTTAATTAAAAAAATTATTTCAGGATACTTGGTAACATTCAAAAGTAGGCATTTATTAACTCAATTATTCTCTTATTAATATTTTAATTATAAAATAAAATTTTCATATTTAAATAAACGTAAAAAAAATTCAGTAAATAATTTCCATTTTAAATACACACATACATAATTAATATAGTTATGAATATTTAATTGAAAATAATTATTAATTAAATTAACGCAATTAGGATTCTTTTATTTAGTTAAAAATAATTTGTTCAATAATTGGGCAAAAACGTGAAATCAATGAAATTTAAAATTAAATTATGCATTCAAATTTATGGTTTAACGCATTTTGCATAAATATTTCAAAATATTTAAGGACACCATTTTCATCGCGCACAATAAAATTTTTATTTAATTTTAATTAAATAATATTTTTTATTAAATATGTTTTCTTATAATATTTGATATGATATGATTAATTAATTAGTTCTTGTTTTGTTTTTTATTTAATGCAATAAAAATTTGATTATGTATCATAATTTTGATATGAATTATGCAGGTCACGTGATATGAATACGATAATAATATTTTAATTAGTAAAAAATAATAAGGATGAAAAACTAAAATTTATTTGAACTTCTGCAATTTTTAAATCCAAAACAAACAAATAATTAAAAAATTTAATATTTAATAATTGTATTTTTAAATATATATTATTCATGTATAATTTTATTTTTAATATTAAAATTTCATTTACATACATATTGCATATATGTTAACGTGTACATATTCAGAGACCACTGCCATATTTCAAAAACTGCGATAAAACTTTGAATGAAAATTTCACGGCAATAGAACGCGAAAATCTGCTCATTTTCTTTTCAATAGAACAAAGTTCCCAAAAACGTTAAAAAGAAAACCATGAGCAAGAATTAAATAAATCTATCAAACAATATATAGTTGTAGTTTCTAACAGAAAACAGTAATTGCGAGTAGATTTAATTAAGACTTTGAAACTTTAATTGAAATTTAATTGAATATAGCTTTGAAATAAATAATATATAGTGGTTAAAAGCCCCTGAATGCAGATATTACATTAGGGTCTTATAACCGACCCAATTTAAGAACAGGCATAGCACATTGCAATTTATTTAGGTTTATTAGCACATTTAATTTATTTTAGGTATATAGTTTAGAAGAAATTATTAATTTCTATGTATTAAAAATGTGTTACCATTTCTTATTTATCAAAAATAAATAAAATTTTCTCTATAGGCAAAATTGTATACGAAACAGAAAAGCTCCTGGAATTTCGAATGAAATACGCAACAAAATTCAGCCTTCCTTTACCAAACAAAGCTATTTTAACCTTTACCATTTTTATTATTTCATTACACGCTCAATTATACGTACTTACATGCATACATATGTATGTATATAAAATTTATATAAATAATTTTTTTTTATCTCTCTGATTGCTCTATATTATGTAAAACAGGTACATTACATCAACACTATATACGAATTGAATTCTATATTTTTAGTCAACATTAGGCTAATTACCAATATTTTGTGTTATATACATTCATACGTAAATAATATATTGAAATTAATACAAATATTTATAGGTATATATACATACATACATATATATATGTATAAAATTGTTATATGATTACTGTAATATGATTACTTTATTAATTTTAAACTTTATTCTTTTCTCAGCCTATATATTATGTTTTAACCAAAACAAAAAATAAATATTAATTAAAATTACATTTAGTAAATATTATTAAATATTAAATTTTGTAAGTATATATAATATAAATATATAATATATATATATATAATAATTTTATATACATGTAATAGAAAATGCTTTATATATAGAAGTGCAATTAAAGTGGTGCAAATATATATATATATAGGTAATTAAACTTCGTTAGTGCGTTCATATTTCTTTGTGCAGTTTTTACGTTTACCTGCCCAATTTCTAAGCCTTGGTAAATAATCATTCCAAAATGCACATGCTGTTGCCATTGGTCCACGTCCAACTTTATCTTCTTTTCTTTTATTTGTATGATCATCAGCATTAAATATGTAATACATTTGATTATCATGACTATATAATGGCCAATGATCGTCATCAATACCAGGTTTTCTAAAAACAACAAAAAAAATGTATAGTAAATTAAATAAAGAATTTTAATTATTTTAAAAATTTTTTCAGTATTTCTTGTTAAAGTGTATTTAATTCTATTTAAGGAATTGTTTAATTTTTTTAAAGGTAAATGGTGCTAAATATAAAAAATTGGACAAATTAGTACTCCATCTTGACTGCTAAAGGTTGAATCTTCCAGAATGATGAAGTAGAACCGTAATAATTGTATCTGGTTTTAAAGTTTACGATTTGTTTTATTGATGTCAGATGGAAATTTCAACAAATCTACTCAATTCTAGTATAATATTGTATAGATAAAATAATCACCAATACAATAAAATCAACAATAAATTGTTTATTTTCTTTATAAAATATTTTGAAATTGGTTTTTGTCTCTGCTATCAGAAATAAAAAATATTTTTAGGTGTTGAGATTTGTTAAATTTAATTTAAAAATTTTAAAACGAAAAGCGAATTCGTGATGGTGAATTTTAAGGTAACTGAAGTGGTGAATTAGTTAAATGGTGAAAAATTTTCTTATAAACATTTTGAAATTTGATTTTATGTAATATTTTTAGTATATTCGTTTGATATAAGAAGGTACTTGTATAAAAATAAAGCTTTTTGGTTTTGGTTCGATATATGTATGTACATACAAGGTTTTCAAAATTATTCTTTAAAATATTAAACTGATTGGCGAATTTATGTTTTTGCTTTTACAAAATATAAAAAATTTACATCTTTTCGAAGCACATAGCTACATACATTAATTAAAAGTTATGTAGAATTTCTTTTACAAAGGTATGTATATTCTTACGAACCCGCTGTATAAAATATTTAAGGTTTGAAATTTATTTGTTCGCAATTGATAGATGACGTTGATTTGAAAGTTTGTAGGGAATCAAATTTTAATTTTCAAATGAAAACACTTTAACTTATTCTGGAAACATTTATATATCCCAGTTAAAAGAGAAGTCATCTTCAGTGTCTCAAACTTTAACGGTTAATGTCAACAATTTGAATCTTTAGAATTCAATCAAATGTTAAAATTTGATAATTCAATTGTTTTCGGTTTGATGGGTTAGTAGACCATTTATCATACCATACTATATACCAATAAATTGTATAAAATTCATTCAATATAAACTAAATTGTTTAACAAAACTAAAAAAAAAAATCTAAAAATACTTTAGTACTTACCCTGTTCTTGCAAATTCACTAACAGCCAATACCATACGTTTACTCAGATCTCGTTCACGTTGAATATATTGTAGAGATTGATTTAATGGTTGTCCAAAAATGTATTCAATTTCATCGCCGTGTAAAACACCCATCCATTCACCCCACAATGAAGTGCTTGTTCGCTACAAGTATAATAAGGAAAAAATTGTTACTAGATTGTAACAGATCATCTCACCTAAACAGTATTAGTATATTGCTAGATTTTATTTTATTATATATAAATTGAATAAAAATATAATAGCTCGATGTATGTAGGTTCCCATAGTGTTAATAATATTAAATTTAATTTAATAATAATGGGTTTAATCTAGCATAATAACACTAACTATACTAGGGAAAAATAGAGTATAACTTTTAATTTCTCAATTCTTTATTAACTTGTTGATTTGTAATATAAACACAAAAGGAAACTAAAAGCAACATAAAAACATTTTGAAGAATATGAGCTTTAATTTGCTATGAAAATATTTTTTACTTATAAAATTAAATTTTATGTAGAGCAACAAGTTCGTGTAATGTACTCTCTTACATTAGTAACTATAAAATATTAGGTATAATATAACAGTTTATGTTTAACTTCAATATGTATACGTAAAGATTGATTGTGTGTGTGTGAAAGTTTTAAGGATATAAAAAAAATTTTTTTTTTATTAGATCGTTCACATATAATAATTATGCTTATTTTATCAAAAAGCTTCATCTATATTCATCTTTAATATGAAAAAACAGCAGGATGTACGAGTATAACAGCAGCAAGTATACTAAAAACAGTATTGAATTGCCTTGACGATTTATAGTTCTTTATCATAAAAGCTATACGATTTATTATTATTGTTATTATTATTATATATAGAGGATTTTATTTAGTCATCTATATGCAATCAACAATTATTGTTTCACTACAATATTGTGTAAATCTTCAACAAGAAATTTTGTATTTAATTTGGGTAATTTGATTTAGGGTACGTTATAGTGTCACAGAAAAGGGAAATTAATAACATGATTTTTGAATTGATGTATAGAAGAATTTTGAGTAATCCGGAAAAATCCAAATGTCTTAAATATGCAATTTTTAGCACTTTTCCAAAAATTTTTTGAAAAAAAGTGCTTATTAGTTTCACGCTGTCCGTCCGTCCGTCCGTCCGTCCGTCCGTCCGTGTGTCTGTTTACAAAACTTCTACATTCTTAAAGATCGAAAGCTGAAATTTAATACGTACATAGATCTTTACTAGATACTTATTTTCGTAGAACAAAATTTTTACCTATCTCCCCCCCTATAGAAGTTATACCCCCCTAAAGCACTAAAAATGGCCTATTTTAACTATTTATTGCAATGAAACCATAAGCATTTTTGAAATTTTTCAAACGCAGAAAGGCAGTGGCTTGCTTCCCCTACCGCGGTATACTATAGCTAAACTTTAGAAAAACAAAATGGCCGTTCAAATTTACCGTTATCTGCAGTCCTTTTTTTCCAAATTTTTGATGTCGTTTTTCTTCTAGACCCCAGCCTGTAGAAGCTTGAAATTTTAAGAGCTTTTAGACATTAACAAATAGTTCATTTCGTTAGAAGAAAATTTTTTTCTATTTCCACCCCCTCTCAAGTTATGGCCTCTTGAAATTTGTAAAATTTGCATTTTTGACACCTTATATTTTTGAAACCGCAAGCTTTTTCAAATTTCTATAAACGCAAAAAGTTAACGGTAAATTCCATGACACTAAAAAATATAATTATTTTTCTTAACTCACACAATTAACCCTTAAAATCGAGCATTATGTTAACCCCTGTTTATATTAATTTTTGCTTTATTTTAAAGACTGCATAAATGGTTCATCCTAAATATATGCAATCCTAGAAATAGTTTCGTTTATAAATGAAAAAATTTTAATAGTGTGGTGGATATACATAGACTATTTTTAAAAGCAGTATTTTCACTTGTTGAAGGGAAAAGTGCTACAATACAAACCATTGGTTTGACCCAACTTTATTAAATTAATTTTTTCATTTAAACTAAAAACCGAATAAGTTAAAATATCATGTTTTGAGTAAAAGATTTTTGAAATTACGATTTAATATCAAAATCTTGTAATTGTTTTATTTTAACGAAACAAAATGAGTTAATTTCGGAACAAAGTGAGAGTAATCAACCAATGAAGTATAAATTTTAAATATGTAGTTTCTATTTCTATTCTAATTTTGAAGCAACTGAAACTTAGAAATAGATTCAATTGAATACATTAATATTAATAACTTTTAAATTTTTATGATTCGTAGAAAGACAACGATGTATATAAATTTTCTGAAAACAAATCACTTAGCTATGTAAATGATTTTTTCGGAAAAATTAGTAATTTTGCTGTCATTTCGCTTATAATTGTCGGTCAATCAAATTTTTTTTGCAATTTTTTCTTAAATTTATCAAAAGCTCAAAGTCATCATAAAAAGTACAATTCAGTTAATTAATAATTTCAATTTTATAAAATTTTATTTGAGAAACAATATTAGAAATATAAATTGAATTATTTCCTATAAAAATTAAGATGCTTGACATTTTTACAGACTTTATTATTCCTAACATTTTTAATTGAGCTTGCGAGACATCCCCGAACAACCCCCGGGACTCTACCTGGAGAGGAGAACCTTGACATGCCTCTAAGCACCCATAAGCTGCTGCTATGCAAGGCGGCAGGGGAGCGCACCAATCTCAGATGGGCAAATAGAACAACGTGTAACGCGACGAGGAAACTGTGGCCTAAACTAGAATTGCTTTTCACAGGGGACCTAATATCTCTTCAACGGGGGAATATCAGTGCTGTTATAGGGATTCTGACGGGCCATTGTCTTATTGGCGAACATGCGAGAAGGATTGACCGCCGCGCATAAAAAGAACAAAACTATAAAAAGAACAAAATATATCTTAACTATAAATTAAAAATTAATGAATTAATTGAGTGCAAAATTTACTTTTTAGCTTACATTCATAAATGTACAGTAAAAACCAGAATAGAAGAAAATTTCTTTTACGCCTTTAAAATTTCCATACTATGTTAGCAATAAAGTATACAGAAATCTAATTTGTATGAAAACTTCAGACGTTGTTTGCACATCAAATTACAATGTTTTAAGTATATGTACATATATATTTACATATTATATATGTATGTATACATTTATATTTACTTAATAATCGTATTTATGATGTGCATTATTATCTATATATACATATAGGTTATGAACTTGTAATCTAATCTAGACATATAAAATAAAACTATTTCAATATTCTCTCATAATATTAATAGAATCAAAATGTATATGTGTATATAAACAAAAATATATTTGCCTTTATATTCTCATGTATAAACATATTACGTATGTATGTATGTACAATACTCGTCAAATCATAATATAATTAATCCGGAAGGACGTCAACTATGACAATAAAGAACAAAATGAAACGTAGAAAAAAAAAAGCAAGAAAAGACAACAGAAATACCTTAATGTAATTTAATACAAAAATTGCATAGACACAATTATATACATGTGTGTATGAGTATATAAAATAAACATTATATGTGTATATATATTCATATGTGTTAACACCACATAATAAATATAGGGAAAAAAGGAACCTCATAAACCAGTTCCTTTTTAGGTGACTATAAAATTAAATTCTAAAAATTATTTTATTTCAACTTATAAATGGAGTCTGTATATATAGGAATGTGGGTGAATTCATATATATGTACATATGGTGTACACATATACATATATATTTGTGTACATTTATAGCGACCCATTTTGTGTCATATTTAGCAACTTTTCTTTGGTTTGTATCTAGAAAGATGGCACTTATTATTATATTAGTGTTAACAGTGACCGCGCAAATAATATACAAACAGGATATTAACAAGAAAAAGAAAATACATAAAACAAAAAAAAACAATTTTATAGGGTCAGCACTTAATCTACCAGAAAGTATATTTTCTGGTATAATAATGGATAATATTATGAAAATGTCCTTTTCATAGCTGGTTCAAAAATTTAAGAACGCTTTTGATTAACGTACACAGAATAATGCAAATTTGGCTCTTAGTAAAGTACCAAACAACTTATAATTGTTAAATTTCCAGAAAATAGGGCAACAAGTTTCTTATTCAAAGGTAAAAAATGTACAACTCAAAAGTTAATGGTTTTGTCCCATCCTCGAAATAAACTCAAATATAAATTTTCATCAAAACCTGTTCAGGAAAAATTTAGACACGCAAGTGCATACCGCAAGACCAACATATCGCTAAAAATAATTGATTTCCGCTTCTCTACCATGGAGAAGTGAATTTAAATCGAAAAATCGACATGTGTACCTTGGCCGTTCATTTGAAAACAATACTTTCCTTTATTGTATACAATACTGTTGGTAAAAATAACCTAGCATTTTTCATCTACATATCCACAATCTACATATCCTCTTAAATACCACATAAAATATAATAATAACTTCATAAGCATTACGATTTTATTTAGTGCCTGCAAATATTGTAAGTATTTTAGGTCAAAAAATTTATCTACATGATACTAAATTAATCACCGTCACGAGATGATTTTATAGTTATTTTGATTTTTATATACAAACTTGTATAAAAAATGGAAGTTTTCTTTTGATTGAAAAGAGAAATAATGTTAAAAATTTTAATAAACTATTCAAAAATAGGTTTTTAATTAATAACTTTTTTTTAAATAATAATAGAGAAATGATTTTATTATTTGATAATTTCAAATATTATTAAGATTATTTAAAATATTTTAAAAAATAGGGGATATATACATTAATTTGCGTTTTTATAAATTTGTGTCCAATTTTGCGGGAATGACTGTACTTGGCCCTATTGCACCTATAGAGTAAATTGATGTATAATTGGGCCCTTCTAATGGGAATATAAAATCTGAGACATTACAATTATGGTTGTTACTTAATTTTATAAATTTTCAAAAAATTTATTTAAGAATATTAAAAATAAATTTTAAGCCCATATACAGAATTTAAGCTTTCATTAAAATTTTATTCATGGAATTTAGAATGAAAGCTCATTTGTAAATGATTTGCATTTAAATATTTTTTACATTGAC